GATTCCTAGAATATTATAGGAATCATTCCTATACCATTATGGGAATCGTTCTCAAAATAAAATAAAGATAAAATCTTCGTGCGGTGTGAATTCGAAATGGCTCCTATAATATATACACGGAAAAAAAAAAATTGAGGCAGCCACATGATTTTCATGTTGTAGGCAATAATAGTTAAAACAACAATAATAATGAAATAATTATAATAATAATCTATATTATTAAGAGAATAAGGAAAATTTTGTGGCCAGTGTATTTATGGGATAAAATGAGTTTTTGCTTGAAGTTGTGCCTTTTCAAGGTTTCATATCATTCTCACCAATAGTCAATTTATTATAATAAGAATTTAGGCTGCATTCGAAAATGCTCTGTGTCTAGATACATAATGAAGAAATGACCTTGTATCTGGTCAACTATTGACATTTTTGAAGATATAAGCTCATCCCGATGTTACACTCATCAAGAGCTTTCATTTGAGTACCCACATGCATTTTTGATATATTTTTCATATTTACATATATATAATATATATAAATATATAAAATATATGAAAAATTGATTTCGGTACTCAAATGAAAGGTCTCGATGAGTGTAATGTCGAGATGAGCTTATATCTTTAAAAATGTCAATAATTCACAAGATACAAGGTCATTTCTTAATTATTGACATTTTTAAAGATATAAGCTCATCCTGATGTTATACTTATTGAGACCTTTCCTTTGAATACCCATATGCATTTTTGATATATTTTTCATTTATACATATATATAATATATATAAATATATAAAAAATTGATATGGCTACTCAAATGAAAGGTCTCGATGAGTGTAACATTAATATGAGCTTATATCTTTAAAAATATCAATAGTTCACAAGATACAAGGTCATTTCTTAATTATGTATCTAGAGATAAAGCATTTTCGAATGCAACCTAAATGTCTACCATCATAAATTGACTATCGACGAGAATGATATGAAACCTTGAAAAGGCACAAATTCAAGTCATGTCCTTTGCAATGACACTTAATTTCACTAAAAAAATCGATTTCAGTATGTGACTATCCAGGAGACAAAATTGTTCTTATTCTTTTAATAATATAGATTATTATTATTATTATTATTCAATTATTATAGTTGTTTTAACCATTATTGCCTGCCACATGAATCTCCCACAGGAATGTATCATGTGGCAGCCCCAATTTTTTTTTCCGCGTAAGATTCAAACCTATATATTCTGGGAACCATTCCTATACTATTCCGGGAATGGTTCCCATAAATTATGAAAACAATTCCTATAATAGTATAGGAATGATTCCTATAGCATTATGGGAACCATTCCCATAATATTATAGGAATAGTTCCCATAATATTATAGGATTAGTTCCCATAACGATATAGGAATAGTTTCTATAATAGTATAGGAATTTTTACTATAGCATTATGGGAACCATTCCCATAATGGTATAGGAATAGTTCCCATAATTTTCTTTCCGTGTAGTCTAAATAAAAATATTAAAAAAGCAAAATCTTAGTTAAAAACGAAATTCCTTATGATTGACAATGAAAATTAGGTGCCGCGACTAGTCAACCGACGACATTTCAACCGACGACTTTTCAACCGAAGGACATTTAAACCGAAGGACAATTCAACCGAAAGATAATTTAACCGATGACAGTTCAATTTCAGGTTTTCCTGATAAATTGATCATAAAATCCATCATAAAAGGGCCTAACACGGTCACGCTTCTGTGTCAGTCTATTATATGAACAGACACAAAAACCATGATAAAAGGGCGCAACACGATTACCGGTGTTTGTAATGGCCTATTGCTGAGTGAACACACATTCAAACCATGTTAAAAGGACGCTACACGATTACCCGCGTTTGTGTTGGTCTAATGTCGAATAAACACACACAAAAACCATGATAAAAGGACGCAACACGATTACCCGCGTTTGTAATGGCCTATTGCTGAGTAAACACACATTCAAACCATGTTAAAAGAACGCAATACGATTACCCGTGTTTGTGTTGGTCTACACTGAAAAAAAAGTTTTTTTCCTCCTAGAAAACTTTTCCCTGTGGTTAAAAAAAAAGTATTCTTAAAATAACAATACCAAAGTTTACTATCCATAGGAATAAGTTTACTGGATATAAAAAAACTTGGTATTCTTATTGTTAAAATACTAAAATAAATATGGCCGACTTAACCTCGCTTGGTCGACACGGATCTTGACGATAGATAATTATGAAATAACATACTTTTATAATTCTTTATTTATAAATAATCTAAGTAATAATAATAATATAAGTAATAATAATGATTAATACTTTTATTTATAAATTATTTAATGTACATAAATAAAAATACTTAGGTAAGTAGACTCAGACATGAGGTAAACTAAAAAACATGCGTACACTGTAGATTGGAGGGAAATGACAAAATAGTGGCGCCACCGTCACGGTTGCTATGATAACATAGAATTTAGTTTTAGCCCTGTTAAAAAACTTGGTATTCTCAGATTTAAAATACCAGTTTTCTTAAATCTAAAATATTTAATTTGACTTTTACTGCGTACACGAAAACTCGACTAAAAAATATTCAGTATTCCGGGTATAAAAAAACTTGTTTTTCAGTGTAATGTCGAATAAACACGCACAAAAACCATGATAAAAGGGCGCAACACATTAACCGCGTTTGTATTGGTCTAATGTCGAATAAACACACACTCAAACCATGTTAAAATGACGCAACACGATTATCCGCGTTTGTGTTGGTCTAATGTCGAATAAACACACACAAAAACCATGATAAAAGGACGCAACACGATTACCCGCGTTTGTAATGGCCTATTGCTGAGTAAACACACATCGAAACCACGTTAAAAAGGACGCAATATGATTACCCGCGTTTGTGTTGGTCTAATGTCGAATAATTACACACAAAAACCATGATAAAAGGACGCAACACGATTACTCGCGTTTGTAATGGCCTATTGATGAGTAAACACATAAATAATTATAATTATAAAATTTTTAGAAAACTTTAGAAAAATTTTAGGAAAAAAGATTTTTTTCATTAATTTTTCGAAAGCAAAATTTTTTTCTCAACTCGCGGAAAATGTTGTTGAACACGGAGAAAATAAAACAGCAATGATTACTGCTTTGTACAAATATTAGAAAAATGTTCATCGTCAGTAGTGAGCGCTGTACGAAACACGACTGGATCGTGCCAGAACACGACTCAGTAGTGTGCAGACAATAGTCAGTAGTTCTTATGTAGCGCTCTCTACTGTCCCAAAAATTCTAACCTCATTTTCTTCCAAAGCAGTAGTGAGTACACTGTAAAAAATCCGGAGTGAATTTCACTCCGATTTCACTCCCATCACTCGGAGTTCCGAAGTGAAGTAATTAATCACTCCGCGTAGGGAGTGAATCCAGAGTTTTTATTTGCGGAGTGATTTCAGAGTGATTTCGGAGTGCTTTTGAATTTCACTCCGAAAAACATCCGCGATCGGAGTTTTTACAATAAATAAAATAAGGAAATCAGTCCACGATACTTACTTTACTATCGGGAAGGGATAGTAAAGTAAGTATCGAGAGTATAAGAATGGACTGAGAAAGGTGGATGGTGGAAGGGGCCCGGTAGCTTAACTGGTAGAACTCCTGACATGTTATCAGGGAGATCCAGGTTCGATTCCTGGTTTGGCAACCAACCCCATTTATTTTTTCAAAGTCTGTCTTTACTCTCATTAAAATAATTTTCTTTCATTTCTTTCATTTAATTAACATCTTTACTCGAATAGATACTACAAGCTTACAGCTTTACTAGTATTCAAGTTTGATGGATTTCCATCGAACTTATATACAGAGAGGATGTCTCTCGACTAATAAGGGAAGATAGAAGTATCCATCTCTTGACTTGAACAACATCTACTAGTTATTTGACTTAGATGGCATGAAAACACTCATTATAAATTTACAAGATATAAGGTCATTTATTAATTATGAATCTAGAGATAGAGTATTTTCGCTTAATGATATTCTCTTAATAATATAGATGATAGGATTACAATTAATTCAATTATAATGGAACATCAAATGATGTTTCATTATTTTATTTTGTGACAAAATATTAATAATTGATAATAATAAGACTTTTTTAGTTACCCAAATCTTGGATGATTGCTATTTTGATAATCATAGTCAATCATTCAAAATAATCAATAACAGCTCTAATACTTGGAAATTTTCATCATATATGGATTTAAACGATTGTGTTATTATTTGTTTTAATATTTTAAAGGAAAAAATGTTCATAACTAAAATATGGATGCAAATGAAGAATTGAATTAAATAAATTGATATTATTTTTTCTTTTAGAATTTTAACAATCTAAGATGGTTACAGTTACCATCTTCGATTATAGCAGTTATAATTTTTAATAATCACAATTATCATTTTCGATAGTAATCGTTACCATTATTAATAGTAACTAGTACAATTGTCAATGACAACACCAATTATTTTGTGACTAATTAATTTCATTACCATCTCAGATAGTAGGAGTTAATATTTTCGTATGGTAAATACTATTATTAATTTTTCTCCGTGTAGTCTTTCAATATCTTAACTTCTATGATGCTGCTGTCTACAGAATAAAATTTGAATTATTGAAAATTACGATGTAATTCAGTAAATTTTTTTTCCGTAAGAGCAAGTGAGTAAGGACGCATACTGTATGTTTTAATAAAAGAGAGACAGAGTCCAGTAATTTACGACGCCACCACCGAAAAATGACTAACTACTGTATGGAAGGTCTTATTATGTGACTGAACAGAACTTTTGTATAATTCCTCAGATAGCATAAGAGGATAAACCTTGGGCTTGTGACGGAGAAAAAACCAGGTTCGATTCCTCGGTGATTCAGAATTATTTTTTCGGTGACTGAAACTTCTTTTTAATTTGAATTATTTGAATGATCGAAAAAATATTATTATAGCAACATCGTAATTTTTCTTGTGCTGGTGTATAAGACTATGCGTAAGGTTGAACAGTACAATTCTTTGAATAAAATTTACGATGATGCATTGTATAAATTATGATGTTTGAGTTTTGGTTCGGCACTACAATGTCCTGTATTAAAAATTACGATGTTTTCATCATAGTTTTTCGTATAATTTTCTTTCCGTGTACTCTAAATTCCTTGTTTTAATTTTTTTAATCGGTGAGTTTTTTTATTTTAGTATGACGAGCTTATTTTTAATTGATTTGTACGTCTGAATTATTGAAAATAATATTTTCGGTATTCGCCCCGAGGGCAACAGGGCTAGCGCTCGAGGTGACAATTTTAATAACTTCGTACCCAGAAAATCCCATGTTATTTCCCATAAGACGCGACATCTGCGATAAAAATCGGAACTTCACTCCCACTCACGGATATACACAGACGCGTAATACACTTACATTTTCTGTGAGTGTATTAGTTGCCCTCGGAGCGAATAGCCCTGAATAAAAAAAAGTATTGAGACAAAGAAGAAAGTATTGAAAAGAATTGGATTGACTAGAAAACCAATTCTTTTTAATATTTTTTCCTTTGTCTTAATACTTTTTTTTAATCAGGGAGAGTACAGATTTTACCGCTGTAAATTCTACCGAAAAAAATCGGTAACCTGTACCGAAAAAATTCGGTTGAGCCAATTGATTTTTTTTTTCGGTAGAGGTTACCGATTTTTTTGGCGGAGGTTACCAATAAAATTGGTTGAGTCTACTGAAAAATAATTTTCATATCGAGCGTATGATGAAGCTAAAAATCTTTATCAATCTCAGATAATACTAATCAAGACTAAATGATTTTTCAATCGAACTCATTAAACCTAAATTTAAGTTTGATGTATGATATTGGGTCATTCCATGTCGAATCGACTAATAGTACACACACGGAAAAAATGAAACCTGACTGGTTCGTTTTCGGCACCTTCACATTTCAAGAATAAATTTTTTCAACTAAGATACCAGAATAACTTACAACAAGAAGTAAATTTTGAAGAAAATGATTTTCTTGAGTCAAGATGACTTTTTTTTCTGTGTAGGAATCAATTTCTTATGATTTAAATTAATTCTGGTCAACGAGTTTCTTTTATCATAAAATGTTCTGCTAAAGGAAAAAAATATTTTTTTATTTTTTTCATAAGTTATGCAAAATTTGAAATTTTACAATTTTTCATGTATTTCAAGTTTATTTTGTGAATATCTTGAAAACTATTACGGTTATCTAGCAATAGAAAAAAAAATTTTTGAAAATTTTATTTATGTGATTCCTTAAAATTCATAGGAACGGATTGGTTAAAATTATTAGAAAATTTAAGGTTAAAATAAACCTTCAAAATATCGCGAACTGTGTTTCGAAGGGTCAAGCTGTTGGAAAGTTATTACATACGAATACACACACACACACACACACACACACACACACACACACACACACACACACACACACACACGGCGGAAGTTCATAGCAGTAAATAAAAAACTAAAAATATTAATTTTAGATTAGATTTTTTCTGCGATATATTGTACCGCTTCAATTTTTTATTTCATTTCTCTACGCAAACGTATAACTCTACATTCTAAAATTAACATTTCCTTTATGCATACGCTCACACATTCTCGAAATAGATTGCATTATTTACAGCCAAATGGTTGTTGACTTATTACTACGATATACTTATTTTTTTTTTACATCCGAAATAAAATTGAAAAAACTAAACATTATAGAAATACATGATTTTGGATAAGTTATGTCATTTCAATAATTAATCGGTAAATCATAACGATTATGGACGACGTCCAAGAATTAACATTAAATTTTATCCTCTTGATATATATATATTGTACGCAATACATTTCGTGGCAAGTAGCCACATAACATTCGACAGATATACGTCGCGTCATCAATTCTATGCATAACACAGATTCTGAAGCAATCAATTATAACGAAGAGCACAAACAAGCAATATAAATATGGATGTATTCATCAATCCTCTCCACTGTCATCTCAACGATTAACCCTATTATTTTATGTAGCTAGTTGACATGAGAATATCAATATGAATATGTAATAGTGGTTATGGTTCATATATCAATTTGTCGTTAACAAAATAAGAAAGAAAAAAAATTCTTAACAATTAAAGTTAATTTCGAATGCTATACCAGCCTTGTGATTGATTTTTTTGTAGCAGCCGTGTTGTATTAGGTGTCCAAGAATTTGTGACGTCAGTATTAGCCGTTTGATTGAATGAAACCGTAACATTATCGGACTGTGGTCGTAATGGTGGTGACAACTGTCTATCGACTATTGATGGATCCATCTCGAGAATCATTCGAAGGTCTTCGTCAATACCTATATTTACTCTTACTCGCTTCGTATCCTCTTGAGTACGTGGAAACGAAGATGGACCTTCTGTATATCCATGTTGTACTAATTTTTCCCGATATGGAGTATACGAGGATGCCAGGAGATTTGTGGTTTGACGACAAAAAGGATTTGAGGAGTTATTCTCTACACTATTATTATGTGAATAATTTATGTTATCCATACGCGACACAAGTTCTTCAAATTCGACGATTTGGCGCGTAGCTTCTGATACGGCACGCATGTCCGAACCTTCAACAACGGCTCATGTCTCAGCACGATCAAACGGCTCTTAATGTCGCGACGTAACTAAAATTTACCGTACTAGTAATCATACAGCTCCGACCAGCGTTTATGCCAAAATCATGACGTCGAAATTTTAGTATATTTACTCAACACAAACATCTCGCTATTATGATTTAGCATTTACATCCATCAGTGAGTTCTTGTTATAACTATTGAAACACCATTAATTATGCCAAAAAAATTACATTTTTTATTCACAATAAGAAGTCTGTTGCAATTTTGACGCAACTTTTTTATAACTTCCCGCTAAGAAAATCGGGAAGTTATTGAATTTACCCCTTTTTCGAAAATTGAGTTTTCATCAGATCTCGACGTTTTAAGGTCCTAGAGAGCTTCCCTGACTATTCCCGCGATGGTGTCTCTGTATGTCTGTATGTTGTGTCTGTATGTCTGTATGTGGGTATGTGCGCGCGCGCGTGTGTGTGTGTGTGTGTGGGTGTCTGAATGTAAACCGCTCATA